TTTTTAATTGCGACAATTCTCCCCTTGCACACCACCTTTCACCACCTCTCACGAACGACATATAATGAAGAAAGCGGATAACACGTCCCTACTCCAACCCCCGCTGAGAAAGGAGGTTGCCACTCAATTGCTCACCGCCGGCACACGGTCGCAGCTCCGATACCAACTGTTATGTACCCAATTGAACTTCAATCCACAATGAATTCACACGTTCTCATACACACATGCAATTGCAGAGTAGACTCGAAGGAGGCAAATCCACACAAAACCAAAGAGAAGATATGCATAGCGGAAGCTCAAAACACATGGAGAATTGAAAAACGAATTTCAATTCCGCAATCCCTCACACTCCTCCAATCGATCCAGAGTACTTGTTCCAAGAATCACAACCACGTCACAACCCCGAACAACCAGAAACAAGCGTTCAACGAAATATACAGGAGTCTTCTTCTTCCTCCTCGCCACCTCATTTCCCAGGCTACGGCTGCCGTAGCAGCAATAACCCTGCAACTGTCACAACATGCCAATCTGAACCAGCAAACCTGATGATAACAGTGCCAGCTCAGCACCCGCACGGACATGCAGCGCTGGAAGTCTTGATGAAGAAGGATACAACTGTTCCAACTCTTCGAAGAAGAAGGAGTTCCTCGTGAGGAGGAGTAGCAGATATGGTTGCCAAGTGGAAAGTTGCAGCACCCAAACCCAACAACAAAGTTCTGTGGAAGCTCTCATGCAAAGCTGCGAAACAGCAGCAGTGTAGTCTTCAATGTCCTTTCCCAACCCCAACTATGGTTGGGCTTTGAAGAAGAAGATGACCTCGCCCAAAACAGCGCAGCAACGCTCGAGCAACGGACGGGCAGAGTTTCCCCAGTCAACGAAAAAGCCAAAGACCCGCACTAATTTTCCTGCCGACTACTTCTGCTCTCCGCCTAGACCTACGACGGCCTCCCCAAAGCAAAAACCTAAGACCTATCTGTATCTAGATGGAAATAGGGGAAGATGGGCCTAGACCTATGACAAAGCAAAAGAAATAGGTCGAATGGCCTAGGACTACCAAACGGAGACTAGTGTGAGACGTAGGGATCAAGCCCCATAGGGCACAACACTCGCAAACAAAACACAGGTTACAGGTCACAAAATCAAGTCCCTCAAGGTTCAAAACACACAAACAACAAACGAACAGGCAATACAACAACCAAGGTTGCGAAATCCCGACAACGACGACAGGGACAAAATTAGTATACAGCCAGCTTGTAGCACTGCAATTCATTGCATGTGAGTGTGTAGTGTAACTCATGCATCTTGTCAATTTTTCACTGGATGGTGTCCCGCCTCACTCGTGGATGTCCCTGCTAGTCGTATGTACATGATAGAATTGTGTGTTTGTAACAGTTCACCCACCCCGTGCCCTATTTGAACACCACTCCCCCCCCCATGCTCTATTTGAACCCGGAAAAGGGGAGTAGGTAGAAGACTGCGATGGCTGCTGCTGTTGCTGCTGCCGATGATGATGGGACTGTTGCTAGTGCTGCTGATGCCTGGCCAAGTATTTTGACTTTTGCTGCTACTGAGGAGCATTGTTTCGGACCCGGACCAAGAACCGATCCGATATGCTAACTAACATTCGTAACCTAGGGTGCTGAAAACCAACCTCGTCAAAAGAAGGGATATGGGGGCTGAGACTTGACAGACGCCATATCCTAGGTATAGGTGGACGACCTACAAAATCCGCTGGCCATTTGAGTACATTTTCCCAAAAAAACTTCAAATGGACTTCGTTGATCCGTTCGCTTAGAGCCTCGGGCGACGCCCGAGAAAGGCAAGTAGGGACAAACAACAACGAAAAGAGGCCCGGTTTTAGGAGAGCCATTTGTAGAGTATATACTGAGGGCTTGTGAAGTTACAAGCCTATCTGACGTCGTTTAGATCAGGAAACACAAATATGAGTTTTTCGGTTCCCCCACCCCTAGTAAAATCGGTAGAAACGGAAATTTGAGAAATCTGAGTTTTTCAGTGATCTGTGTTTTTTTTCGCAAGTTCGAGTTTTTGCGATCGCCGCGTTTCTGTACAAATCTGAATCTCGGAAGTTTGAGTTTTTTAAACTTTTTTTAGGGTTCAAACGTGGAGACGACATGGGCAGGACAAGACGGAAGACTTAGAAAACACCCTCACACCTTTTTCCCCCTCCACCTCCACCCATCCACCATAGCCAACCACCTTCACACCTTCCTGCATTTCCTTCAACCATCTGCCATAGCCAACCAGCTTCACACCCTCTTCGCCCTCCATCTCCTTCATCCATCCGCCATAGCCAACCACGTTCGCCCCTTCTTCCTCCTCCACCTCCACCCGTCCACCATAGTCAGCCACCTTTACACCCTCCTTCATCTCCTTCGCCCATCTGCCATAGCCAACCACCTTCACACCTTTTTCCTCCACCTCCTTCACCCATCCACCATAGCCAACCGCCTTCACACCATCCTCATCTTCCACCTCTGTCCCATCCACCATAGCCGACCACGTTCACACCTTCTTCCTCCTCTGTTACATGTTGCGCCTGCACACGAGGGCCATTTTCCAGGCCTTACGTCCCTCAGGCTGAAAGCCTGAAAACCAGGGCCTACAGGCCCCGTGTCCATTCAAACCAGGGTTTTAGGAACAGGCTATTTTTAGCCTGTTCCCACGACAGCTTCCCATGCACTTCACGGGGAGGCAGGAGGCAGGCAGTAGTCTTCAGGATTCGGCAGCAGCACTCTGGAGGAGCGTTGCAGGAGTAGTTGTAGCGTTAGCAGTAGTCTTCAGCGCTGGCGCTAGTAGCGTTAGTTGTAGTCTTCAGCGCTGGGCGCCATAGCTAGAGTAGTACTAGAGAGAGAGAGAGAGATTGGGCGGTGGCCGGGGATACTTACCTTTAGTGCGGTTGCTCCAACTTCGTTTCGAGGTGCTTGCAGCACAGCGCCATTTTCACAGGTCAGTACCTGACACATGAGAGGGAAAGAGTTCTTCTTCTTCCTCTTCTCAGCCCACCATCTCCTTCTCACCCTCTCGGTATCTGACTTCACTGCATCAGCAGACTACGAGAGAGAGAGAGAGAGAGAGAGAGAGAGCTTGGTGACATTTGGATCCAGACTCGACATTGGACTTCAGACATTTTGAAGAGGGATTATTTGGGACTTGTAACGAGACTTGGTGTCGACGACTTTCCCATCTCCCCTTACTCTTCTTTGTCGGATCCCCTCCTCCTCGTTTGTGTATGTTTGGACCTGGCGCTTCTTTCCTGTGTATAGCGCCAGGCCCCTTCACACCTTGTGATGAGCATGATGTATGTTTGGTCTGCGTTGAAACATTGATTGGGCTAGTCATTAATATTCTAGCATTCTGCTTGCTATCTTGTACTACATGAAAGGGGTCAGTCCCGGTCAGGTCAGGACTTGTATCTAAAGTCTTCCTTGTGCTATAAAGCACCATTTTGTATGTATCGGAATGCACATTGCTTGTTGAGATTCCACTTGCACAGCATTGTCCATTCAGTCCTTTTTATCACTTTGTGGATCCTCTGTTTATATGTACATCGCCCAACTGGGCATGTAACAGTTGGTATCGAACCACCGCACGTGAATCAGGACAACCTGATCTGACACGTGTGCGTGGACTAGGTAGCTGATTAGTCTTGATTGATTGATTAGAGCACACTTGTTAGCCCCCAAAATCACGAATTTGACCTCACTGTCGAAAATCGATTTTTTTTTTCTCTTCTTGGATTTCGTTTTCTCGCTATTTCTGTTGTGGAAAATCGCAATAGCGCAACATTTGAAATTTCCGTTTTTGTTTTTGTTATGTAAATCCGAAATTTGGTTGTTGAAAATCCGGAATATCTTTTTCTCGAAAATTTTGATCTCCTTTTGCAATTTCCCTTAACTTGGAAATTCGGAATATTTTTTTCCGAAAGTCCTTTTTTTTAAGAAAACGGTATGGGAAATCCCTCTGGCAATACCACTTTCCAAACTGCAAATACACTCATCTGGGTAAATCCGAATGCTTGTTATTTCTTTCGGATTTTTTTTTCTTCTTTTCACAGTTCTATGATTTGCACTACCTGATAATCATTGGCAGTCTGAAGTTCGAAAAGTTTTTCTCATTGATACTTTCGCACTTCAAGGGAGGTTGGGAGACCTACTGCACTTGCAAAACTCGAGATTTTTATTTTTTCAAATTTTTTTTTGCAAAGTTCAAACTTTTCTTTTTTGATTAGTGGCTCCTTATTTGGACGTTATCTGGGCGATTATCCCAACCACCCCTCCCGACGTATGTTGTTGCCCCCTCTGGTCTTACCTTCTCTATCGGTCTTCGAGTAGCCCCGACGGCGGCATTGGTGAGTTGCCACATCAGCAAGCCACGTCAGCGGACCACGTCAGCAGGACACGTCAGCCGACAGCAGTGCCACGTCAGCAGCAGGGAGTACCAGGTCAGCAGGCTCCCGACGTGGTCTATGCTTTTGCACTCGCAAACAACTGTCATGAACCAGAAGTTCGGGGAAAGGCCTATCAAGCTCGGATGCTGGCCCGGAGTACCGAAACCAAGAAACGGGCGGATGACGTAGCAACCGCAGCGATGAAGAAGGTAGAGGAGGCCGAGAAGGCATGTCTACTGGCAATTGAACAGCAGCGCCAAAACGACGAGGCAGCAACAAAGGCTGCTGATGAAGAACGGGTTCAACGCCGTGAGAAGATATTTAGCGGAGAGCAAGTGTTGCTCACAATGGCAGCGGATTGGCGGGCCGAGGCCGAGAATGGCAAGATAAAAGATAGCGTAAACAAGATCGCTCTACTCTCCCATCTCACGGACCTCCTGGCAACATGCATTACACAGCAGGAGGACATCCACAACCTCAATGACGCGCTGACTCAAGTCCAGGGCGGCCTCCGGCAACTGGAGCAGCGACCTGTCGCCGCCCCCGATGCCAGATCTTCCAACACCTCTGATCGCCTCGAGGCATTGGAGATGGACGTCGGCTCCCTCAAGGACGGCGTGCAGCTACAGCAAACCACAACGGAACAGTTGGAGCAGCGGATCTGTACTGCCGCCAACAACTCGAGTTCGGAACCGCGCGAGACAACTCCAAAGTTCGACGGGCAGGAGCTCTTCTGCAACTCGATGAAGACAGATCCGATTCCATGGTTCCGCAAGTTCGAGCTCACGGTGCAGCTACACTACGTCAAAGAACACAAGCACCACGCGTACTTATACTCCCGTTCGGGGGGCGTGTGCCAAGCATGGTTGGACAATCTCTTATCCGAGTACGGAGTGGTAGCTGCTGACTTGCATACCAAGATCAGCTGGGATGATCTGAAGGCGGCGTGGCATAAACCCTTCCAAGTAGATCCGTCGGTGATCAAGGCAATGGACAAGCTAATGGTCTTTGAACAAGGCATGCTGCCGAGTGTGGACTGGATTGCCAAGTACCAACGCTTGACATCCGTCCCAGTCATCCAAATGGGCTTCAAAGCCATTCGCCACTATTTTATCTAAAGGTCGTCTTCGACATTGAGCAATGCCTTCACTCATGTCGAGGACACCCTGACGACAACGACGAAACTCTTTGACAAGGCCGCGCAGATAATTATCACGAACAAGGAGGCTGAGAACCTGCGTTCTTCTGCGGCAGGCCCGAGTAGAGATCAGCATCGACCGAAAGTGGTCGTGGTCGCGGCTGCAACGCTGTTTGACCAAACGAGCGAGGCGGTGTCTGCCAATGAAGGGGACAGACTCGCAGCCGTCGCCGAAGGTGGCCGCCCCGGCAAAGGCCGAGGACGCGGCAAGGCGAAGACAAACAACGTATCTAGCCCTGGGCCTGACGCAGCAGCTCCAGCCCCATGGTCCCAATACGGTCTCTCCGAGCAAGCATTCAAAGCACGCACGAGATTTCACTATTGCATATGGTGCAACAACGATCTCCATGAGACAGTGGCCTGCTCGTCGAAAAGCAAGGGCAAATCGGGAAATTGAGCACCGTCGGGAGTGACTCGACGACACTCTCGACGCCTTCGGAACAGGTAACTTCGCGGGTGACCGCCCTTCGTTCCGAGGCACATGCGGAAGTCGATAGTCCTCTTCTTTATTCTTATGAGGACTATGCTGGCTCGTTCCTACGCTGGGTACTCAAGCTCAAGGACAAGACGTGTGTGCGACATCTTCTCCGTCCGGCAGCGGCGACTTATCGTCTTCAAGTGGTTCTTCACGGGATTCGGCGCGCGAGTTCAACATAGAGGTACTGGACCCGCTCACGTTCGGGGATTTCGCTTGGCTTCCTCTCCCGACCACGGGCCGCTTGCCGGGACCGCAATGCGCAACACTATGCACTCATCTCCACACCTACTTATCCTTCTATGCACCACCAACTTCGCCGACAGATGACGAAGTCGCGGTGGGGGACATCCTTGCGTATGTTATCAAGGTGGCCCGCGAGTTTCGCAATCAGCGGTACGATGACAACAACGCACCGCTCCTCTATGTCCACATCCAAGTTGGGCAAGCATCCTGCAACACTTTGCTGGATAGCGGCGCGTCTCGCAATTTTATGAGCCAAGCCTTTATGCAAAGGGTTGGCCATGGTGCACAAGTTCGAAGGAAGGCGAACTCGACGGCGGTAAAGTTGGCGGGCGGAAGGACGCAACAACTTATCGACCGCTACATCGAGGCCGTACCGCACCTCATGCATGCGAACCGGTGACATTTGACATTTTGGACATGGACTTCGACATTATTTTGGGAATGCCTTGGCTTGCGAGTGCGGATCACAGGGTCAACTTCCACCGGCGGACTCTTACCGTTCGCGACGCCTTCGGCGTCGAAGTGGCATGTACTATTCCTATTCCGCACCCTTTGATTCTGTGCCAAGTGGTGACGGCCAAGTCATTCCGGGCTACTTGTGCTTACGAGCAGCACGACGAAATTGGCATATGCTTCCTATGGACCGTCGCGGTAGCCGACTCTTCACTCACGGACTTGTTTTCGGACCCCCGTGTGGTGAGGTTGCTTGATGAGTTTGCCGACATCTTCGGGTCACCTACCTGTGCGGTGCCGGATCGGCCAATCTCTCACGAGATCATTCTCGAGGCCGGTGTCGTGCCGCCGAAAGGTTGCATTTATCGCATGAGCGAGGAGGAGCTTACGGTCCTCCGCTCGCAACTCGATGATTTGTTGGACAAGGGCTGGATCTTCCCTAGTAGCTCTCCACACGGAGCGCCAGTTCTCTTCGTACTGAAGAAGAACAAAGATCTACGATTGTGTATCGACTACCGCAAGCTCAACGCGCAAACCGTCAAGACTGTGGGGTCTCTTCCTCGCTTCAACGATCTTCTTGAGCGATTGGGCTGGATTTGAAGTCGGAATATCATCAAATCTCGATCTGGCCGAACAATCGCTACAAATCCACGTTCAAGATGCGGTATGGGCATTTTGAGTGGGTGGTCATGCCTTTTGGCCTCACCAACGCCCCGACGACCTTTCAAGCGGCAATGACCAACGAGTTTCGTGCAATGTTGGACCGGTTCGTGCTGGTTTACTTTGACGATATTCTCGTCTGTAGCCGGACATTGGAGGATCATCTTGGGCATCTTCGACGAGTGTTGGAGACGCTCCGCCTTGCCAAGTACAAGGCCAACCGCGACAAGTGCGAATTTGTCCGACAAGAGTTGGAATACTTGGGCCATTTTGTCACACCGGAGGGCATTAGTCCACTATCAGTCAAGATTCAAGCCATCCAAGAGTGGCCGGAGCCATGGAACGTCACGGATGTCCATTCATTCCTTGGCCTCGCCGGCTACTACCATCGTTTCATCAAGGGCTACTCAAAGATCGCGGCCCAGTTGACCAAGCTTCAATGCGAGGATCAACTGTTTGACTTCGGAGAGGATGTGCGCGAATCGTTTTTGACTCTCGAAGTCGTGCTATTATATGCTGAGTTCTTGTGCATATACGACCCGCTTTTGCCTACGCGCGTCACTACGGATGCGTCCGGCTATGGCATTGGTGCCGTCCTCGAGCAACATGATGGCGTGGATTGGCACCCGGTCGAGTATTTCAGCAAGAAAGTGCTCGTCGTGCATTCCATTGACGATGCACGCATGGAGCTCCTCGCCTTCGTCCACACGCTCAAGCGGTGGCGGCACTTCCTCCTTGGTCGAAGCCAATTCCGATGGGTAACGGACAACAATCCGTTGGTCTTTTACAAAACCCAAGACACCGTCAGCAACACCATCGTTCGATGGATGGCTTTCATTGACCAGTTCGACTTCTTTTCCGATCACATTGTGGGGAAGTCGAACCGTTTTGTGGATGCTCTTTCACGACGTCCGGATCATTGTACTGCGGTCTACTCAACCTTCGAGATCGACAACGACGTGTGGGACGCGGCTACCAAGCCAACCCCGAGTTTCGTGACAAGTACGCGAATTTTTCCTCTCCTAATCCGGTGCCTTCTCACTACCAGATCCAAGAGGGGTACTTGCTTGTCCACATACGGAGGAAGGACCTTTGTGTACCGAGTGACCCTCACTTGCGTACACGGCTACTTGGCGAGTTCCACGATGCTCCCGTCACTGGACACTTCGGAGTCAATCGCACGATTGGCCGACTTCGCGAGCGATTTTGGTGGCCCGGCCTTTCTCGGCGACGTCACACGCTATTGCGAGTCATGTGAGGTTTGCCGACGCTGCACATCCCGCAACCATCGTCCATACGAGAAGTTGCGCCTATTACCAGTCCTCTTGTGACTTACGGAAGCGATTGCCATGGACATTACCGGCCCGTTCCCCAAGCACAAGACCGGCGTGGATGGGATTCTCCAGGTGGTCGACCGACTCACCAAGTTCGCCATGTTTTTGCCTTGTCGCTATCATGCCAAGGCACCGGAGTTGGCTGAGGTTCTTTACTCCGGTTGGATTCGAACCAAGGGTTACCCCGAGGAAATCATCTGCGACCGCGACACTCGGTTCATGTTCGATTTTTGGTTGGCGCTCATCAAGCAATGGCGCTCATCTCTCAAGCCCAGTTCAGCTTGCCACCCCAGACCGATGGCCAAACGGAGAGGGCGCACCAAACTGCACAGGTTCTCCTTCCCACTCTCATCCGTCCTAACCAGAAGGATTGGGTTGAGCAGCTGCCGGATGTCGAGCTGGCCTACAACTCCATCCACCCGGCTATTGGGATGTCGCCCTTCGAATTCGAGCACGGCTCGTCGGTCACTTCTCCATTGGACACCATCATTCCACGAGCGACCGAGAGCGACGACCATCTTCTGTTCTTACGTCGGATGCAAGAGCTTCTTATCAAGGCACGCGACCAGATGGCTAAGACGCAGCAACGCATGATCCAGCAGGCCAATCGCCAACGTCTCCCTTGCCCATTTCGCGCCTACGACCTCGTTTGGGTTTCGGCTGCGGAATTCAGCCTTGAACAAGATATCTCTCGCATGCTCCTGCCGAAATGGATGGGGCCCTGGCCGATCGTGGCACCCGCTAGGGATGCACCCGAGGGACCTTCCTTCACTATTCAGGTGCCCGCCCACTTGCCTGTCTACCCGGTCTTTCATTGCTCCACGTTGGCTCTTTACACGCGAGCGGAACATGACGATTTTCCCGGGCGACGATCGCAAGACCCACCCTCTATGGACGATTTTCAAGAGTTCGGCGACATCATCTCCCAGCGACGCTACGGCAACGGGCCAATCGAGTACTTGGTACATTTTGCATACTGCACACACCGAGCTGACCGTTGGTTGACCGGTGCGGAACTTCAAGCAACAGCTCCAGACGTTTTCGCACGCTACGAACGCAAGATGCAAGGCAAGCCGGTTTCTTCGGCTCCACGCCTCGCCCTCGTCCAGGTTCCACCTTCAAATCGTCAGCTTCACCCTCGCCCTACTTGACTTCATAAGGAGGGGGGGGTGTTACATGTTGCGCTTGCACACGAGGGCAATTTTCTAGGCCCTGGGTCCCTCAGGCTGAAAGCTTGAAAACCAGGGCCTACAGGCCCCGTGTCCATTCAGCTCGAAAGCCTGAAAAACAGGGGCCTACAGACCCTGTGTCGTTTCAGAGTAAAAGTGGCAGTAGCCTTTTTAGCCTGAAACGAAGGGCTATTTTCGGTCTGTTATCAGACCGACCTGCCCTGAAACTCAGGCACCAAACCAGGGTCTTAGGAACAGACTATTTTTGGCCTGTTCCCACGACAGCTTCAACGCCAGACCCTGGCTCGGTTGGGCATTGGCAAGAGCAGCCTCCTGGACTGCCCGCCCTGCAACTGCAGGCAGTCGGAGGCAGTCAGAAGGTAGGCCGAGGTACTACATAGGGACTTCCCATGCACTTCACGAGGAGGCAGGAGGCAGTCAGTAGTCCTCAGGATTCGGCAGCAGCACTCCGGAGGAGCGCTGCAGGAGTAGTTGTAGCGTTAGCAGTAGTCTTCAGCGTTGGGCGCTAGTAGCGTTAGTTGTAGTCTTCAACGGTGGGCGCCATAGCTAGAGTAGTACTAGAGAGAGAGAGAGATTGGACGGAAACTGGTGATAATTACCTACAGCGAATGGCTCTGCGACCTGAGGATGAGCGTGGGCGGATCCGAGCGAACTTGGACTCGATGAAGGGGCTGACCCAAACTCGAAAGTCTAACAGGGTGGGGCCCTACAACGGTACAGCCAGTGGTGTTCACAAGGGACAAAAGGATGAGAACTTGGACACCTGGCTTAGGTCAATATCGGTGTACGTACAGACAAAGGATATTAAGTAGAAAAGGAGGTAATGGTGGCTGGAATTTTTTTGCAAGGCGTTGCTTCAAGATGGGTAGATGGCGTGATAGTGGAGGTTGGTTATGGAAGGGAGATGACTACAAGGGCGGCGAATGTCACCTTAAATGAATATATGAACCTTGTAGAGGGCAAATGTTATGACTGACAGCAGGCACAAAAAACAGTAAATGAGTTGAGGAATCTAGACCTGGAAAGGTACAAGAGTGTGTGGGAGGTCACAAACAATGTGAAGGAAATGATCATGGTACAAGGTGTGGTAAGATAGGGAGACTTCTCACCACATACCTTAGGTATCTTCCAGACAATATCAAAGGCCTATTCAACGAGGCCATGACCAATAGGAACACTTTTGCCTCACTTAGTAACATGACTTTAAACTTCAGAGGCAAAGATAAACAACACCATTATGCAGGATTTGGTAGGGGGATAGAAGACGAAGCTGCCCTGAGAATGGAGGAAGACCTCCTTTCCATGGACACACAGCAGAAGCCAATCACGAGGACAAGCAGAATAGGGCTGCAATGAGGCTGCTCAGGAGGGAGTTTTTACTATCGCAAAGGCTAAGGTGGTTGGCCCATTGAGGGGGCAAGCCACAACAGCCAAAGAGACAAACCTCTTTGTGAACTACCATGGATCAAGAAAAAAACTTGATGATAGCACCCGGAAGGCGAGATATTACAAGGGAGGTTGTATGTAGTGTGGTGAGTTAGGCCATATGAAGAGTAGGTGTCGCAATAGGAACAAACCCAATTCCTAGTAGGGAAACTAGACGAGCCAGTAGGTGTAGTTGCTTATATAAAATCTAACCAAGTAGGATGGTAATGGTTTTTAACCCTACCCCGCCGTCACATTTAGATTGGGTGCTGCTCTCTTCACGCGATGCGACTAAGACCTACGGGCTTCTTGTGTGACGTTGATCGTGGTGGAGGGTGATGTAGGTAATCGTAAAGCAAGGCCATTGGCATATTGACTCTAATTGCAACTATATCGGTCTTGATTATGTAGACAGGTTGCGCTTATGGGATCGCGTGCACTGACGGAGTAGACTTGTCGTATCTACCTTAGCCAATAAGCAGACAATCGCGATGGACTACATCAACAATGTAGTATATGCACACTCTCCTATGGAGGAGAGCACATGAGGCATAGGATATCATTGCTAGTGAGTGATGAACTCCCATTGATATGATGTTAGGTATTATTATATGGAGGTTGTGCAGCCCAAGTTCAATCGGGTGACAAAGATTGGGAAGTATGAATTGCTCGAGGGGAGGATAATCCTTTTGAAGTACAGTGTTCAAAGAATGGCAGACCCTTATGGCTGTTTGTGTAGTGCTTTCTACAACTATTGTAAGCAACATCCAGAGGAGGGTATGTACCTAGTGTTTGTTTCCTAGGGGGCAGGCCATCAAAATCCCTCTAGGGTTTGTTGCCAGGGAGGTTGTCCATGCGATAGAGAGTTTCCTTGGTGTTATGATCTACAAATTGTCTTCAGCAAAGCTCGATGAGCTTCGCAAGCAACTCTAATACTTACCCTTTTTGTGCCTCGGTTCTATTCGTATCAAAGAAGGGAGGTACATTAACTAGGGCCTCGATGCAATCACTATGTGTAACGTTGAGCCGCTACCTCGCACCGATAACCTATTGGATGGAGTGCAAGGATATAGGTACCATCAAATTCAAATCAGACCTGCAGACCAACACAAAATTGCGTTCCTACTTAGATACTTTACGGTTGTATATGTTGATGATGTACTTATCTTTAGTAAGGTCTTGGAGGAGCATGTGCAACACTTAGACATTGTGCTAGGTCTCTTTCAGCAACACCAACGCCAAATTTACCTAGCGAAATGTGAGTCTTGGCGCATTACAATCTTATATTTGGGTCATGAAATATTGAAGGAGGGTTTGAGACCCAAAGATTCAAAGGTAACCGGCGTTAGCGACTAGCCACGACCTTAGTTTGTGACAGAGGTCAGATCATTTTTGGGGGTAACAGGCCACCTTTTATAAAGAGCTACAGTTTAATAGCTGCCCCTTAACTGATCTAGCACGCCTTCACACCTCTTAGGATTGGACTCAAAATTGAACTATGTTGTGATGCATCACAAAGTTCTCCAGATTGCGGATGTGGATCGTGACAAGTCGTTTATTGTCACAACCCACGCTAGCCAATACGGTATGGGCACATTTTATAACAAGAAGAGGGGGAAGAGTTGAGGCTTGACGAGTACACATCCAAAAATTGTCATCTAAGAATCTAGCTGACTCTACTTATGGGTAAGAACAGTATGCCTAACACATAGCATTGAGACATTGGAAGCATTACCTCCATGACAAATGTTTTGAAGTCTGGTTTGACCATGAGATACTCCAATGGATCAAGAAGCAGCCCATGATGTCCAATCCTTGGGGATTGCGGATCCCGTTAAGCCGTTCATCGTCACAACTGATGTATCCAGTATGGTATAGGCAAAGTTTTACAACAGCAAGAGGGGTAAAAGTTTAGATTGGACGAGTACACATCCAAAAAGATGTGATCTAAGAAGCTAGCTATATCTACATATGAACAAAAACTATATACCCTAACCTCGATGATAAACATTTTGAAGTTTGGTGTGACCATGGGACGCTCCAATGGATCAAGATGCAATAATGTGGTTTCCGACGGTCTACGCAGAGTGCCGAACTTTCTTGGGGGGCTAGCGATTGAGCTTGGCTTAAATGAACATGTGCATCGTAAGCTGGTTGATGGCGACAAGAACGAGGACATCCAATCTAAGATTATACGCAGATGTGTAGCGTAGAGCAAATCACATTTGGCAAGTTTCTAACAGTCGACGGACTGCTGTTCTTTGACAAAAGGTTGGGAATAAATGATTGCATGTCCCTTGTAGCAAGGCATTGTGTGTCTAGTTTTTAGGAGAATGTTACAATGTTGTGCAAGGAAAATGAGCAATAGCGAGATGACAATAATCAGATTGCACAATCACATAGTCATCGTATCACAGTGTTCAGAATGCAACATTGCGCCAATATGACACCAATAGAGAATCGTAGCATTGAAAACCAATGTCAAAGACAACTTTCTCTCGCCACCACCAACATATGTATCCAGTTCCTATCTCCCTACTTGACGCTCGATGCCCAGACTACTCCCTACACAGCTACTACTAGCCTACTAATTGACAATGCAACTGTTGACGTCAACAGCCTCCAAGGTACTTGAAGATGTCGCCCATGCAGACCATCGCCAATACCAGGTATGTAGCCCTCACATCATGATCATCATCATCCTTCTCTCTTTCTCCCTCGTCTTCCCACGTCTTCCTTTTGTACACCCGAAGACCACCCCTGCGCCTCACTGTACATCCAAGCCCACAGCCAACTATGAAGGTTGGGCTATGGCGCTGCCTTCAGCAGCACCCTTCTTCCACACATGACCGCATGTGCGCAGCTCGTTGCTCCAGCGCCAGCAGCCAGCCCGCGAGCATGAGCTCCAGCAGCGCTGTTGCCAGCCAGCAAGTGCCCGAATCCCTCGCCAGGCAGCGAGCTCTGTCTTATATGGAAAGAGCCTGCTTGTCTTCGCAGCCTGGCTGGCCTGGGCCCAGACCCAGAAGCTTCCGGTAGGCCCTAGGATGCTGCGCCTTTGGTGCGGCTATTGGGCCTCATTCAGCTGGGCCTCCCAACTGTCTGTGTATGAGGCTGCTAATCTCGCCCAGGGCCTGCACTTTCAAAATTGCTTAGAAAGTTGTTGAATTTCCTTGCTGCTCGGCCTGTTTTTCCTCAACCAACTGGCACGATGTAACTGCCTAGACCCCGAATACGAATTTGATAGTTTAGGGCCTCTCGTGATTTGTTAGGCCCGCCTTCATTTAGGGCGGGCACATTTGCAGCACTGGCCCCTTGGGCCTTCCGAGGACCTAAATCCTTGCATTCCCCCCTCCTTTTCTTCGATAGTCCTCTGAGAAGTCCTTATGTAACAGGCTGCTTCCCTTTTAGTTTTCTTTCGTTAATTCCTCTCTTGTGAACCACCGGTCTTCTTGAGGATCAATGTGATGTCTGAACCGCACTCGGTATTACATTTGTGGCTTTGGCAGTCGGCCCCTTCCTGGAGGTTTGGGCACAGGCATCAACTTGTGCTCGATGATATCGTAAATGTCCACGTGTTCGCC